GAGGGACTCCTAACCCCCAACAGCAAAAAGCAAGGGGGGGGGGGCAGGGGACAGGCAGATGAGCCAGGCCTAGGAGATAGGCCAAGGGGCCTTATCGACCTCGCTACTTGGTGCCCCCCCAAAATAATAATGGAAAGAGCTAAAATTCGGGAACACAGACCTCAAAAAGGCTTTGAAAAACAGGGGGCAAATCAAATTCCTAGTTTGCCCTGGGTGTTCTTGGCCTTCGGCTTTCCTCCCTTCTCCACCGCCCGCCCTTTTTTTGGGAAGCCCGAGCCTCTATTTTTAACCTGCTGGGAGGGGGAGGAGGGAACCCCAAAATGAACCTACAAGGGAGATCTGCCACCTCGCTCACTGGCTCACTCTCCCCCACCTTTTCTGTCCAAAGGTATGCAGGAAGAAGAGGAGGGAAGGCTGGAATCGCAAAGCCTTCGGAGGCTCCAGAAACAATTCCCTTCGCATCAGGGGCAGGAGATGGGCAGTGCCCGGCCTGCTACCCACCCACCCAGCTGCGAAATAAACTGGACTGCAACTCCTATTGTCCGCGGGGACTCCGGCCAGCCCTGGCTCCTCTATTGGAGCTCTCCAAGGTACTGAATCTCGTGCGAGGTGCTGTCCAAGGTACTGAAAGCCCGCGCATCGCCGATGCAGGGATGCCATCCCCACGCGCGGTGGGCAGGAGAGACAAAAGGCAGCTGGGCACCCGCGATCCGTCCCCCCCCCGCACGCGGACCCACGCAAAGCAAACCCCCCCTCGCACTGCCAAGCCCTCCCGGCTTACCGTGCCCGCCGCGGGTGAGGAAGGGCGTGCGGTTGATGGCGATGGGCACCGTCCCGTGCTTGCTGTGGAAGTGATGCACGTGGTGCGTGGTGCTGAGGCTCGACGAGACGCGCGCCGCCCCCGCCGCGGCCGCCAGCAGCAGCAGCGGCAGCGGCCAGGCCAGCAGCCCCCACGGCCGGGGAAGCCGCCGCCGCGGCCCGGGGAGCGCCATGGTGCCGGCCGGCGGGGCTCCGGCGGAGGGGGGGGCGGCTGCTGCTGCCGCCGCCGCCGCTGCCCCCCTCACTTGTTCGGCGCGGCGGCGGCGGCAGCGGCGGACGCGTCCATGGCCCACCGACGGCCCCGATCGCCGGAACGGGGTGCAGGGAGGGGGGAAAGAGGGCGACGGTGTAGGCGAGACCCCCTCCCCCAAAAAGCGGGGTAAGGGCGAAGCCAATGGGGGAGGGCAGAGAGCCAGGCCCGGCTGGGCTGGGTGGGACGACCACCTCCCGGCTCACGGCCGCCCCCCCGGCCCGGCCGCCTTCAGGAGCATCCCGGGGGCGACAGCCAAGAACTGGGTCCCCGTCCCCCCTCCCCCCCGCGGCCAAGCGCTTGCAGCCAGGCGGTTTTCCCGGCGGGGGAGGCAAGGAGGGAGGGAGGCAGCGGAGGAGGAGGAGGCGAGGCGGGAGGGAGGGAGGAAGGGAGGGGGGCGGCTAGCGATCGGGCATGGTGGGTGCGGGGCTGGGGTCGATCGGGAGAAGGAGGAAAATAGAGGGAGGGGGGGGTCGAAGCCCAAAATCCGGGGAGAGCTGTAATCCGCGGGTGGGTGGAAGGCAAGGAGCGGGGGGGGGCGTCCCGGCCCCGTCCAGTCCGTCCGGGTCCCCCGGTCGAAGCGCGGCGATCCGTCCGCGGGGGGGTGGAAGGCAAG